GGTATCGCTTGCGCATTATCACTCACTTATTTGTATAATTTATTCGACGGAGGCAGGCGAATAAACTTTGAGTGCAAAAGGCTCGCAAAAAGAGGTCTCGACGGCGCACTTCGTCATTTCCTTTATACGGCAAGAGTCATCACAGTAGATGAGAAATTGAGGGTGAAGAAACTGCTGTTGCCGTTGCCATGCCGTTGCTGTAGCGCGCTTGCAATTAGGATGAAGACGAAGACTCCAGACTACTCATTAACTCCGGTATGAACCGGCGAGCGTAGCGCATCAACGGGCTAAAAGTCGAAGAAGTAACAAGCTGGCATCCTGATGCAGTCCCCGCGCTGCCTGCCTCCGTTCCTTTTATTTCGCCGGAGTGTCGCCGGCAAATCTTATTTAAGGCAGATTTATCGCCACCCGGCTCTGAGATCGAGGTAGGATATTACGCCGGACCCGGATGCGCCATTCACAATGCGACTCCTCGACTCAAAAAGTGTCATAACTCAAAACCTGAGCGCCTCTTCGAGCACTTCCGCCGCTCCAGCACATTGTGTGCCAGAATCTGTCCTCTCGTCCCTGCACCCGTACCAACTCCCCCCTCTCCCTCCTCCCCGCCTTTCTCCCACGTCCCGTTTCACTCACCCTCTCGTTTCCTCTCTGTACATGAGAGAGCAAATGGATTCTTTCGTTTTTTATTAATATGTGCGGGGACATATAGTGAGTAGCATCAAGTGTTCTGCAAATTTTTTCAACGTGTCATTATTTTATCTGAATGTAAAGTATCGCGTTGGAATTTTCCGACGTTGGGTGTAAGAAAGATTTATTCGTCCGATTTATTCAATATTGAATAGGATTTATGAAATTCTAGACTAATTAAATTACTTTAGATGTCTTTTATATCAAAATTAGCGGTCATATTTATTGTATACTCTTAATAAATTTAGACGAAGCATAAATATAATGAAAGATATACCGAATAATGGATTCGTGTATACATAAATTGATTTTATTTCCATTTGAAATATAATCAATTTAAACATTAATTACATTATTTACTCTCTAAAGTATTATTAAATATATTTGTAATACAATCAGTTGAAGTGTAATTTATTAATTATTCTTTATACGGCTGCCGTATAAACAGCTCGTATTGTTAAAGTACGACGAGAGCGCTTTCAATTATTCGGTGATGCGAAAGCGATATCTGCACGATTTCTTTATCCTGACCGTCTCTAACTGTTTCATCATCTATGTCGATTCGGCCCCTGGGTAATATCAAACGGGAACTTGCGTAAGGAAGGACGCGCATTAAGAGAAATGGACCGTGGGGAGCAGTTTTTCGGTCGCGCCGGTGCAAAATCCAACATCATGACGTGAGCGTTGTCGCGCGTGACGGGCGTTCGATGTCATCGATCGCGGGCATCCTGATCGATACGCGCGTGTCGCGGGGCGAAAGAAACGAACGAGTCCGGCGATCCATTTTTTCGCTCTCCTTCCGCAACGAGCTGGCTCCATTAGTCCGGGGATTGGCCGATGCGCGCTTGAGCGAGCACCGCGGCGCTTTTTGCGCCGGCCGGACCGGTTGAATAATTGTGTTTTGCAACGTCCGCGGGAGCGCTTAGCCGAACTCTCGGGCATGGATCCAAAGAAGAATTAAGCAAAGAGGAAACTTGAAATGCGGATCTATAAAAGGGACAATGGCACCGGGCAAATCGCGCAGTTTTTGGGACGATCGCGAATCGCACGGATCAATCAGCCGTTTGCGCGAAAGGGGACACGATCTGGGACACAGTAATTGGCATCATGACTTCCGAAGTGAGTGCATATCGCGCGATTATCTCACGTGTCACCCTCAGACCGCTCGCCAACTTTAGCACTTCTTCATAGAAAGTCATTAAAAGCCGCATGTGTCAGCATATTACGATCGTCGTACAATAGAAAGCGGAAATGTTCGCGATTTGATTGATTCTTGCAATCAAGATCGGAACCGGCAAATCTATTGTTCCATTCTTATTATATGATGTATAAAACTATGAGAAATTTTTTCACACTTTTCTTAATCTAAAAGTTTTTTAGCAAATACCACTAGATTAATTTCTCTTAAGCGAAAATTTGAAAAGCAAGTTTTAAGCAAGGAACTATATAATGTAGTTGAATAAACAATTAAAGAAAGTTATTTATAAAAAAAATATAGAAAAATACCATCACGCAAAAACTGTCACGTAAACTTTATTCATTTTTTTTAAATTGTTTCTGAAAAATGTGTTCTTGAACGTGAATAATAAAACGTGCATTCTCAAAATATGAAATAGTAGACAAATGTAAGTATTTTAATAACAGTTTCGGCTTAATATAAACAGTACGTTTTAATTAAATTTTTGTTTCTGCCTTAATCATCACTAAATCTTTTGAATATTTATTTATAAATATTTAAAAAATACGTTTTATTATTTTTTATTTTTTTTTTCTAAAAACAATTTTAATTTTTTTTTGTGTTTATGAATTTTCTCTCTTATCTTTACTTATTTTCTTCCAACAGTTTACCTAACTTTTATTCTCTTTTTTTTTAAGTAGTTGTAGATTCTTTACTTAGCTGTTTTCGCTTATCCGTCCAACATAATCCGCTGACTTTCCTATCTTCCGTCAGCCAATACCGCAACCTGTCATATTTCCACAACTAAATCTTTCTGTAGTTTTATCTCTTTTTCTAAGAATTCTGTCTAAGTTGTTGTGTTCTTTTTCTAGCTATATACATTCTTTTTGTTTTTTTATTCTCAACCTGTACCTATGGTTCAACATTTTGTATTCTAAATTCTATTATGTACCTCGTAGCGTACAATTCACCAGAATTATAATTTGATTAACGAGATTAATGTTTCTTGACAGGTCGTTCTATTCGTATTGGTGCTCTCGACCTTGCTTCTGATCGACGCAAAGCCGGAAGGACATGCACACTCTTTCGCACATTTCCACGGTCCTGTGACGGGACACGAACACGAGGTCACTTGGGATGACGATGACGGTCATTATCATGAAGACTACGTCGCTCATCCCCATTATGCCTTTTCGTACGGGGTCGAAGATCCCCATACGGGCGACTATCACGGTCAAAAGGAGCACAGGGACGGTAGGTTTGCGTAGTTTGAATGGAGATTAATCTCCTCTGCTTTAGGGGGATCCTTCTTGTCATCTCGTACATACCGCGAACTGGGGAGAATAAGAATAACCTACTTACGTACGCGGAATCGCGATGCCAAGCTCCGAGGGAGAAAAAGCTGACAAATGTACCGAGGTGAACGTAGAACAGACTGATTGTGCGAATAAAAGTGGCAACGTGACCTTTACTTGAGCAATTTTATAATGTTGCTCTTGGAATACGCAATGGAAAGCCACAGCATGGTAATTCCTTTGATTTAACTTATCTACACTTCATCGTTCATCGGACGAACGATCGACAGTGTTAAGAATATTTTATTAATGCCGTTTGCAATGTTAAAAATTATTTTGAAAGAATAAAGGAATTTCAGTGCGTTCGTTGCCATTTCTTCTTAATTTCAATATTACATGTGCTCTACGTAGAAAAAAATTATATATATTACTTTCTTCAATTATATTATTTTCTTCAATATTTACTCAAAATAAAATCTATGCTTATGTACAGAAAGAGTTATTTTCTAATTTTCAAATTTATTTATAAAAATTTTGTGTATATAATATATATGAGTTTTCGTTTTATAATCAGTCTGCCTCGTTATATGCAATAATCACAATTCAAACACGTTGCTTTAGAAAAGCGAATCTCGATCGTCAAGAAACAAAATTTTTCATAATACCAAAGCAAATATTGTTTTTAATAATTTGGTTTTTTATAATTTTGTAATGGTATTTTCACAAAGCACGACTTTCTCTATATAAAACGAGATCATCGAGCGTCGTCAAGTTTTAACTGGAGCGAGAGATTTCGTAGCAACGCGCCGAGAGAAAAGTTAGGAACGATAAAAGTACTGCTAAAAAAACCACGCTTCAGTATTCCCGCCTTCAAAGGCAGACGGCTAAAAAGTTTATAACCATATAAAGCTTAGATAGCAGCTATTGATAGAAGAGTCTCGGAGCAACTGCGAACGCGGTATTCGCCAGCGCGAAACTAATTAGAGTAACTAGGACCAATTACAAATCTCGTTTATGATTATATTTTAAAGCGGGAATATGATCTCAGTTTAACAACGTGTTAAAATATGCTACAGCTATCATCTGACAGATTATAAGAAATTTATATTTTGATGGAGCATTAGCAGAAATCCACAATTGTGGAGATTAAACGCGAGCATACGTAAAAACATTAAATTAAATTGCAGTTAATTAATTATTCAAATTAATCCCATTTAAATAATTTTCTTTATTTAATGTTTGATGAGAGGCATGTTTCTACATTTAAATGTCGGTTGTATTACACAAAATCCACGTTTTACATTTAATAGAAATCTGGATTTGATAAATATATTATAAGTCATGAATCACATAAACGGAATTATTTATACAATCCGTTTCTAATTTCTGTATTTATTAATTTCAAATTTACCTGGCTATCAATGAATTTAACGAGCAAAACGTACAAACATGAGTTTCTCTCTATCTTTCTATAATTTTTTAATAAAGTAATAAATAAAAAATCTATTAAAATATTTCCAAATATATATGTATTCTCATAAATTTATGCATTTTTTAATAACTATAGCAGAGATCGTTTTTGTACTTTATAAGTCATTTATTTCTTCTTTAGTTATAATAATTTAAACTTTCTTATTATTACGCGGAAAACATATCAGCAAAATACAAGTAGTTACGGATTTTTAAAAAGAGCGAAAACTGGCGTGGATTTATATTTCATCGCATTCACCCGAAACTCAATTCGTCTCCATAAAAAGAAGCGATAATGTATGTCCCAAATGTGCCAGCTTTGCGCGGAGCGACGCAAGACAAATAACTCGTACGTCGATGTTTTGCAGGCACAGACGTGTTCGGAGAGTATACCGTGAAGGAACCAGACGGCAATATTAGAACGGTGAAGTACCGCGCGGGCAAGGACGGATTTCACGCCAAAGTGCATAACAGCCACCGAAACGATCGTCAACAAGACGTTTATCACCATTACGATCATTATTAGTCCCGCGAGGTTGTACACTATCTCCTACCAAACTCGGTCGTTTTGCACCGTGCGATACTTTGCTATTTTTATATCCATTAACCTTGTTGAGTAATCGTCGACATTTCGTTTATGTTGCATGCACTCATTAAAAGATCGATTAAGTACCTTAAAATTTTCGTTTCTCTCAGTTTTTCTCAGTGAGTCACTTGTCTAGTTTTATGGCTAGTTTCATAACGGAGTCATTATCATGAAAGTCTTTCAATATTACGAAGTGGCCTTAAAACTGTTGTAAAAACTCGACAAGTTGTCAATCGGACAATTAGCGAACTGAATTTCCTTGGAGGAAATGATTATTTCTTCCGAGGAGAAATGGAGTTGATTATAATCAACGAATTGGATTGTTAATAGTTCAATTTCCGAACAAAACTGTTTAGCCGAAGAAACAGCCTTGCGAAAATTCACCGTGTAATTCACTTTCTGCATTTTTATAGTCTTCTATATTAAATTCTGCTCTCTTAAGTTAAGATATATTATTGTTAGAAAATGTTTGATTAAATAAACGAATAAATTGTATGTGTGTGTTAACGATCTATAATAAATGATAAAAATCTTTATTTTTAGATAGTAAGCAACAGAAATTTTAAACACACATGATGGGAAAGTATAATATACGCTATTAATATATCTCATATTCTATAATACGTGTTGCATCATAAAGAAACATTTATTAATAATTACGGATATATAAGTACAAATGAGCAATATAAATTGAGAATAAATGAATACTTATTTTTTGTCAGAGTCAATAGATGTCTCTACATTTTTGCATCGCAACGACTGAATCACGTTATTGCTCTCATGAAATCACGAATATTTCGGGATTTCGAAATGCTCATTCGCTTTCTGCTCACCTATCTCAGCTCTCACACAATCCTCATCAAACGCTAAATGATTACCGCGTATCGCAGCGAAAGCTTATTGCGATATAGGCATTCGGCAAATATAGACGTAATATTCGAAATTCAATTTGTTATACGGCCTATGCAGGCCGGAGATATTGTTTGCTCCAAATTACTTTCCGTTCTCCTGCGAAGAGCACAAACTCATAGTGCTTGCGATCGAAAACCGATATGTAGAAACAACCGAACGCCGATGAAATTTCGAAGTACGCAATATTTTTTAGCAAAATTGACATTCGCCGATTAACAATATGGTTGAAGTGCTGATGCTATACTAGTCTCTAGAATAGAACAATTAAATAACTATTTTTAATTTGAGTCGAACATGGAATATTATATTCTTTAAATAAAAATTTATTTTATTGTGCGATAATATCTCATTCATGAAAATTAATTTAAAATGCAAGGAACGAAATATTCTACGTTTATTTATATTCTGTAAAGCGTTAAATATTTCGTGATAGCAATTGAAGAATTGGCTAGCAAACAGCGCTTAATCATTGTTTGGCGAACAGTTATTATGCACACTTATAAAATTAATGTCTTAGCATTAATGTTTTAGTATTTTTGGAGCTTAGAGGTATTAAGCATTTCCGACGTATCATATCTAGAATCTAGACATTCATAATTTAGACAGCTCAGCATTTGTATGTTTAACATGTGCAATTTTCAAGCAACGTTACGTAAATATAATTCTCCTACTCGTAGTAAAAATGCTTGACGTTTTCAAGTAAAAATAATGTAATTGTAAACACAGATTTCTCATGTACGATTAATTAAGGAATTAATTTCAAGCGATTGTTGGGTAATTTATCCACGAATTAAGTCATGAGTTGAATAGCACTTGAGGGAATCTCTAGCTGGGATACGGTATTATACGGTAGTTTTTTACGTTGCAGTTTTCGTCGAAATTATATGATTAAGGAAAGCAATAATAATAGTACGAAGTTGTCATTGTTGAAAAGTGACAGGTAATTCAACTATTAATTGTCACATTTTATTTCTCCTCACGCAGTAAGAAATAATTAATTTTCGAAAATTGTTTATAATATGCAGAAATAAATTAAAACTTCTTTAAAAGATAACATCTATGATATAAAACTTATTCGCGAACAAATATACATACATCCCGTTGGGAAATACATTTTATGCACATATACTATATGTTTCACATAATTTCTTCTCGTACATATAAATCACAAAGATCACGAGAAGTGTCTTGCCAAAATACAATAAAGGTCCGCAAAATGTCGATATTCCATTCTGGATGTGTCCACGTGTAATTTACATTCGGCACACGGTCGAGTGATAAATCATGAAACAGGGCTGGGAAGAGTCGCGTGGTAAACACCTGATAACGCACTTTCCATAACATGCAATATCATAGAAAATAGTAAACTTGCTGAGTTTGTACATATAGTACGTTAATTGACGATATCCCGCGTTAAACATCGCATTTCAGGCTAGTGAATAAATGGGCTTAATTGCATTTCTATACAATAGCCTGTATAATACGCGACAGACGCCACCGTTGTCAACGGCCGTGCACGTAATCTCGTTCCTGGAAAAACGCATCATGTGTTATCTGCCTTTTATACGTGGCTGATTATTATTAAATATAGCATGTTTTATCTTGGTAACAATAAAATATTTATGAACGCTTTAGAAATATTCCAATTATTTGGAAGTGTAAAATAACAGAATTTAATTTTTTAACATACAAATAGCAATTGTTTATACCGCGTTTATCTTAAGTATTTTAAGTGATCAGCCGAAATAATTCGAACATAATGTTACGTGTTATTTAAAAATGTGTCTATACATTTAAAAAAACCTAGATAATATAGATATCTACTAATTTTCTTTTTAATCAAGAAATAAATGTTTTCTTATTAAGTCCTTATTACAGACATAATTTTTGTTTTATAATTTAATGTAATACGAAAAACATTTAAAGGTTCAGAAATATACATACAATATAGTATATGTATAACATAAAAGAAATTATAAGTTGAATTTTATCTTGAAATTTAACGGAAATTATAAATTATCTTAAGTAGGTTCTGTCGCTGTAATATTAGAATAAAAAATCGAGAGATAAAGAAATTGTGATTAAGCGTTTCGCAATTCTGACGCAATGGATGCCTTCGTATTAATTCTTCGATAAAATATCTTCGATAAAAAGATAGACGATAAACAATTGCACTCAATATTTTACGGAGCATTGAAATCTATTGGTACAACTCAAACAACGTTTATTTTATCGATCTTCGTCGCAGATACGATTTCCTTTATAAATTCCGAAATGCAACGGAGGTATAGAAAGCGAGGGAAGTTATCAAAGAATCTTTGGTAGCGTTCTTTGGAGCGAGGTAGAAATCCAATGGGACAGAAAGACCGCGATAAAAGAAAAGAAAGAAGGAGAAAGAACCGCGAAAAGTTAAGAAAACCGAAGGAGAAAAATTTATTGAGGGATTTTATAAGCTATTGAAATTATAAGTTCAGAAGAAATAATTTCTCGTGTATATTGTTTTTCATTATCATTCTACACACACACGCACACGCGCATACATATATACACACACAGATCTCCAGGAATACAATCTACAAAAAAGCCGCGATATTTGTTTAGTATACTGGTAGCTAGTGATGGGATCAATATTAATATAACACATTGATATTTTCATATTATATACGTTCATATTAATTAATCCTAAAATATATATTTATAAATATGCTTTAACAATACGCACATATTAATTTTAATGAATAAATATCTCCATATTAAATCCATACATAAGTCCTAATTAATTTCTTACAAACATATTTTTAAGTCTAGATGGCTAATAATACATATAATACGGTAATAAATGTATACGTATAGTTTCTTATTTTTAGAACTTGAGTCAATCAATAGAAGTTATATAACTAGTTAATACACTCGTGCAATATTGTGAATTTCGCCATTTATAAATTTTCACGTGATGAGTATTTAAATCTGTGAAAATTTGCTTGCTGTAAAAAAAACTGTATAATTTCCTGTCTCTTGGGAAAAGTGGGCGAATACACGCGCACGTTTTATATTCATAAATGCATTTCCGCCCGATAACTAAATCGCGAAAGTTAAATAGTATTATTCAACACAGAGCATCGTGACGGTTACGGAGTGGATAATTTCTACCTTTATAACGTTTCCGACGTCGAGTTACAGTAAGGTTACAAGATCCCCACAGCTATATAAAAAATTAAAATAATGATCCTGCGTGTTATAGGGAAAAAGAGGGTGATTTGTTAAAAGTAACATTTTGCTGAAGAAGTTTAAGGACCGATGAGTTTGGCACGAGATAAAATATTCAAAGCTATCCTTCTCAAAAAAGAAATATCACCCTCCAAATATTTTATGTGAAACTTTTTCATTCGTACGATATCATAATGTGATATCAAAATGTATATGTTATTTTCATTGTTATAAAAAATTTATATATACAGTTTTTAGGTCAGAAAAGAATTTTATATATATATGTGTGAATATATATATAAATATTATAAAATTTTTAAACAATAATAAGTAACAGCTTAGTATATCAAAGCATCTTGTCTACCAATAAATCTCAGTATAAGATATATATAATAAAATTATGATTACATACATTTAAAAAAAATTTATTATTTGCAAGAAAGATTTCTTTGAACTAGAGAAAATATTTTAAACTCAGAAAAATGTTTTCTTAAATTTATCCAATACTTTTTTGAATTAAAGAAACTAAATGCAAAGAAATCTATTTTCTTGCAAATAATGAATTTTTTTCAGTGTATTAATTAAAAATGCAACTTTTTAAATTATCTAAATATAAAATTTATCTTCATAACAAAGTTAAGAAAGTTTTCAAGTTACACTGGTTGTTATACTATTTGCGCCGCTTTAGATGCGCTCAACACAATTTTTTATTTTCTTGCGCGTATTACGTGGCGTATTACGAACAATGAAACAAGAAGAATACATACGAGAAAGTGTCGTAGCTTCTTTGTAAAGAACAACTACAATGTAAAAGAAATTAATTATTTATAGCAAATAATTTACGAGAATAAGCGATTGGTTACAATATCTATTATTAAAACCAGTAAACTATTTACTCGTTGGTTTTTCCTAATGTGAAACAAAGCGCGACTAAGTATTTGATGTGTTACAAACCGACGCTAATTGTCGCCTTTGTGAAATATTCTAATGATCACAAAGAAGTTCTTCTTGCGAAGCTTCTTTGTAGCCTTGATTGTATTATGCAAGCATGGTTGAGGACCTACGTGAACGCCGCTTTACATAAACTATCGGACGGCTTCCAGAGTCATGATCCACCGTGAAACTACCGGTCGCGCTAAGATGCATTCCCGGTATGTATCCAACTGTTCCCCCTTCTCATTGCGAACAGCACGGATCGTGATCGCACTACATAAGCGCGAACGAGAGTCACGGGCCTCTTCACCGGTAACCGCAAATTACGTTAGAAACGAAATTCCCGCGCGGACGGGAAGTCTCTCACTCGCGCGCGCCGGAACTTCTACGCGGAACTGCGTTCTT